CTTTAATGACTTCATCCCTTCCTGCTGCAGAGGGCAATAAGATGGACCGTTCGGGAATGCTTTCTGCAGAAGCCCCTGCTGCAAAGTTCTGTGGCAAGTGTATTATTCTCAGTGTGCAACGACCAGCATTTTAAAGATGTTCTTTTCCGTATTCGAAGTTGTTTGGCCACTCTGCGTAAAAGAAGTCACCAGTGGTCTAGGTCACAAGGTGAGGGGAAAGAAAGAGCCATTTGTGAATGCTGCCGCAAAAACATGCACTTCTTCCTGATTCAGCGGGGAAGGACAGGGCGAGACAGCAAGCACAAAATTAGCCGAAAACCCCAACAAACAGGCGGACAGTCCGGAAATTTATTTTTCCTCACACACCCCTTTCTGAACCAAGACCTGGTCTCATTTCACTGTCCTTATTCTCTTCCTTGCCAAAATCCTCTTTCTAGCGGTTTTTACTGTGTGGGTCCTGTTCTGCGTTATCAACTTCTGGACTCGTTCTGTCATTCCAGGGGTTGCCAGCTCTGCCCCTGGAGCCACAGCCCAGCAGGGCAGGAAAACTGGGACCACATCTGCGTTTTGAGCAGTTTAGTGAATTAATCGATCCCGTCAGGAGTGATAACCTTGTGGTCCCTCAGTGCTGTAAAGATTTCATATGACTCCTACATTACTTAATTGAACAAACACCTGATACAGTGATCAAAACAAACTGTTCCAAAGTGCTTCTGTTAAATTATTTATCATTATAGTAATAAGTGTAGATGTAGCACTAGGAATTCACATTTTGTGGCATACAGCAAAATGATCTTAATTTGTATGGATGTCATTAAGTAGTGAACAGAGCAGTGTTTCAAAGTGTACAAGATCTTCAGTTACTTCTCTTCAAGAAAGTGCATTTCACTTCAGTTATATAAGAAATAACAACAGCTTTCGTTGCTCTTAAGTACTTGTGCCGAATGGTCTCCTCTCTTGGAACCTCTCCTATGTCTTCACAATGGGAAAACATGTATTGAGTTACGCAGTGTGTAGTCTCCCTCTAGTGGTAGGTGGGGCTTCTGCAGCGCAAACCCTCAGACAGGTAGACAGAGCACTTTATAGAACTACATAAAATGTAAAATGTACCCTACGTACTCATTATCTGTGCATCCTTTAGATTTTCACGATTAGACTTGAAACCTTACAAAACAATAACCTAGTAACATTAAACCTATCAAAACAATAAAAATAAGTTCGTAAGTGTTCATCTAAATTTCACATTGGTAAATAAACGAATCCACTGGGCTGCTATATGGCTTATTGTTCTTATTGTTTGGTGCTGTATTTTGCAGTAACAGTGTATCCAGGTCACTAAAGGTTCGGGTGTTAGTTTTACTGTGAGAAACTGCGCAAACACAACACAGACCTGCGCCGACTACAGCCCCCCCAAAAACGATCAGCAGAGGACGTGATTCAGCCCATCGATTGGCCCGTCTACTGCCTGGACAATTTGGTCTCCATAACATACAGTATTCTCACTTATTTGTCCACTCGTACCCAAAGTGATGCACAGCAAATAAGCCATTTGCACTTGTTTTGTCACGAGGTCTTATTACGCTGTATAGTCATCAAAAACGGCAGCAGATCACCGTGCCGTAAAAACAGCGGAGACTCTAACTTGCTCTGGACATGCGGACTCTAGGCAGAGTTAGGCACATGCCAGCCCACAGACTAACAAAACTGCCCTGAAGACACCCCGCAGCCCTCAGGAAAACTGCTGCTGCGCTGATTAGCACGTTTAAAACAGCTGCATGGAGCTTCGGTTTTTAAACACCTGGTGGAGCCCAACTCCAGTCCTGGAGGGACCGTCCAGCTCCAGTCCTGGAGGGACAGTCCAGCAGGAGTTATAAATCCGGACCGTCCAGCTCCAGTCCTGGAGGGACAGTCCTGCGGGAGTTATAGATCAGGACCGTCCAGTCCTGGAGGGACAGTCCTGCGGGAGTTATAGATCAGGACCGTCGAGCTCCAGTGTAAGCATCTTATTGTCCACAACAACAACACATACAGACAAGTGCTCTCAGAGTGGACTTTTTGAAGAAGAATCTAAGGAAGAATTGAAGTGCACTTTCTCCTTTGGTTCACAGCTTATTTCATTTTCTGCTCTCCACAGATAACAGCAATGAAAGCAATGGCAGACATCAGCGAACCCTGTCCATTGTGTCATGACATAATTAACCACCAGAGGGAGCCAGATTGACACTATCACTCTGAGACCAATAATTATAATTATCCTTACACTTTAAACAGCTCTTTTCAGGACACTCTACTCAAAGTGCTTTACAGGTAATGGGGATCCCCTCCACCACTACCAATGTGTAGCCCCACCTGGTTGATGCAACAGCAGCCAAAGTATGCCAATAGTCTCACCACACACTAGCTGTCAATGGGGGGGAGTGCAGACTAATGAAGCCAGTTAATAGATGGGGATTATTAAGAGACCATGATTGGTAAAGGCCAGGGGGAAATTTGGCCAGGACTCCAGGGTAACACCCCCACTCTTTTCGTGAAATTGTGCAATAGCTTTCTGACTTATTTCATTGGTAACACTTTATCTGAATGAAGCGATAAAAACTCTGTCATAACTTCTTTATAAACACAATGCAACAAGATAAAACAACATGCATCAAAACCGTAGAAACTGTTAAAAAAACACACCTGGACCCCTGTTACTGAGCTGCATCTGCAGCAGGTCCTTCCTCACCAGGACAAGCCAGAAGGCTTCAGTGCCCAGCTGGAGCTGCTCTGTCATGCCTTCACCTGCCTCGGTTGGGACAGCACAGCCCTCAGCTGCTCGCTCAGCCCCGTCTCAGCTCAGCCTGTTTCTGGCCCAAAGACAAAGACAACACAGCAGACAGCTCAGCCCCTCTGCATGAACCCAAGACCTGTAAGCTCTGCAAGCACACACTCCTGGCACCAGGCATTTCTTATAGACCTCTTCAATCACAGCAGCTCCCTATGCTGCACCAGCGACTCCCAGCGCAGGAACACCCAAACTCAAAGGCAGACACGTAGTAAGGAAGAAATGGAAGAGATGTGCTTTGCCAACTTGGACACTTTATAGAAATCCCTTCCAGGAGAGGAATGGTTGTAAAACAGCTCAAGACTAAACTGAGCTTTAAGCAGTACCATTAAAACAAATCAACTCTTTCCAATTTTTAATCAGGCAAACACATAAATCTATCTATAATCTACAAAAGCGACTGTGTTTTTAGGGTTACCAACACCGATCTGGACCAATACTATAATAAGAACAGACAGCAGAACTACACACAAAAAAACAGCTTACATTTCATCAGGTTTATTTTATTTGGAAAAGCTGTAATAGAGACATTTATGGTTGTTTTGTCTCTGTCCCCCTTTGCAAAGTAACCCTTTTTTATACCACATAAAAAGGTATTATTAAAAACACCACGAGATTATCAAGTGCGATAAGGCAGCACATGGTTTATCGCAGGATGTGCAATTGTTAACACAGGAAGCTTCTGGGTCGCTGTCGCAGTGAGCAGTGGTGTCGGAGAGCTGGCCGAGCCGGCTGCGGGCTTTCACACCCAAACGGCTCTCCCCCAGGGTCAGCCGCGGCCAGCCACACACCCGCCGCGGCTCCGAGACGTCCAGAAGCCCCCCCCTCTCGGCCATTCGCTTCCTGCGTGGGCCGGCGGGCAGCACAGAACAGACTCGGACGCCATGCGCCAGGCTAGCTCAGGGGTACCTTCACAAGGAGCCCCGAGAGCTGCACAGAGACCGAGGTCCCCAAGCGCATGCCGTTCAAATGGATGTTCTTCTCCAACCTGAGGAACAGCATCTCTACAATATAAGCAACTACAAGGAGTGGAACTTTGTCAGGTCCATATTTATACTGCTGGGAAAAGTTATTTTAGCATTGCTTACAAAGCATTCAACGTGTGGAAATAAAAGTGATAAAAAGACCCTGTGAGGTAGTCCCCTGTGCTGCCTCCACGTGATCGACCAGCAGCTAAGAGTCAGCCTCTGGTTAAAAGTTCTAACAAAGGAGCTTCATGCTGGCTGGAGTCCTAGAGCCTCACTTGTCAGGCTGTCATGGATGCTAAAAGAAGTCATTTCTCTGCCATGTTCATAAAACGTCACCCTGATCCCTATCCCATAGGTTTGTGTAAATCACAGAGACATCATCTTTGCGTAACGCGGAAGGTAAAAATAAAGTAAATGAACTGCATAAAACCTTCGCTTTGCTCTCCTTTTTAACACAGGACCTTCTGTCTTAAAAAGTCATATGGAGCAAAGAAAATCCCACAAACGCATGAACACCAAGCACTTCTCCCAGTAAGTACGGGAACTTTTACTTTCACACAAGCGCATGTGGTTGTTTTAGTCTTATCTTTCAGACACAGGAAACCAGATTTCTCACCTGGTTAGCAACAGCAGCTTTGAATTACTGGCACTGGCTGTTTGATTTAGCTGCTGTGTGGTTTGTGAGAGAAAGAATCTTGGGTTTCACTGGCAAACTCAAAAAAGCGCAAAGTTCTGCATGGAGAGATCACCTGCCCCAGGAAAAAGAGCTGGACCTGTGGAGATGCGGAACACAAAATCTTTTCCCCAGCTACCTGCCTGGCAACCGGTAAAGGAGCAGCTCCTGTGATTGCTGAAGCAAGACACCATGATTTCAGTTATAAAGCCAAACAAAAACGGAATTAATTACTGGAGCTGTTTCTTAGCACCATGTGTTAACAAATATGGTCTTAGATATCCACTTCGGCAAGCCTCGGGAACTTATGAGAGAGGTTATCATTTTTTATGACACTGGTACATTCTCACATTTTTTATTACTACTTTAGTGTTTCTCCCTGATCCTGCTGTCCACTGGCACCTTCACCCTGATCACAAGAGACCGCACACAGAAAAACAGGTTCTGATCACTGCAACCAGCCCAGGCGGCATCATAAATAGGAACTTTGATATGCAGGTCTGGATAAAAACAAACACACAGAGCAACTGCAAGGTAAAGAGAAATTTCCTTTTTATTTACAGTGTGCAGGAAAACACTCACAACAACCAGACCACAACAAAAACCTTTTTGAGCTGCTAGCTAGACTTCTTTGATCCTGAAGTTCAAGCAGGTAGCTGTGTCAGCATGCGTATGCTGCAAAAGAACAGGTAAAGGTTTATTCCACGCTGAAAAGACAGAGACACAATGTTTCGGCTGTGGAGTCATCTTCAGGTGTGATAGCTGTTCCTTTCTTCAATCCCCAACAGAACCCGGGCCGCTAAGCTGCTTACCAGCCTCTAAACGACAACTGTCAATCTCTGGTCTCTCTCAAAACTCACTTCCAAAATTACTCAGATTCACAGGTTCCGCAGTTCCTTTGTCCCTCAGTCGTTCGCTTCCTTCTCTCCTCCCTCTGGTGAATATGCCCAGCAGAGGATCTGACCAGTTTCCAGACAGGAGACAGGCCAGCCACTGGGAGACCCTGCTTCCTGCTTTTAAACTGTCATCCAGCCAATCGCCTTGCACCGACCGGTCAGGTGACTGAGGGCTGCAGCTCATTGCCCACAGGATCCTGGGGAATGTGGTCCAGACAAGGTTCTCCATCTTGTCTGAACCCACTGCCCTCTCACACAGCTGCTTAACCCTAACTCCTCGAGGCGCTGTCAGAGCTGACACCCTGGCTTGTCACAAGACATTGGTGGGTGAGATGCTTTGATCATTCAACTACAACAACCTAGATGGGCTGAAAGGCCCATTTTCCTATGTCCTTCGGGAGCAGAGCGCAGCCTAAAACTATATCAATAATGTCCGATACCAGCAGGGGCTGCTGTGGCACAGTGAATCCTATAAGCCCTCTAACTCCCAAAATCTTCTCTAGTCAACATCCTGGACTGCAGAAACCAGTTTCACTTTACCACTGAGTATCATAGGGATATTCTCTAATCTGGAAATAACCTCCATTTTCACCTTTTCCAGTCGTAAGACTTTCCGTGTCCCTTCAAAGAGAGGAAGAAAGAAGGCCAGACTGCAGCACGGATGATCAGAGTTACTCAGTCCCAGCTGCTACTCAGGCACTGCAATCGCAACAGACACTTCCATCATGAGGCTACAATTTGCAGAGGTTAACATCTGTACTGTGTATTAGTGTGGAATAATACAGCTATTTGAAAAGAGCAGGACAAGAATTCCTTAGATATTGCAAACACACAGCTCAGAGCAGCCATCCCAGCCACCTGTGGGTGAGACGGACTGGAAACTCGTCACGCATGTGTGAACAGGGGGCTGGAGGCTGACAAGCTCAAGGCCTCTCTTGGCACCGAGAAAACGCGCCCGGTTTAAGACCATGGCTCTCTTTTTCCAGCTCCCACAAAGGTCAGTCAATGACAGAGGGATTTGCGAGAGTCCCCTGAGCGCTCTGTGGGGGAAAGGCCAGGCGCCAGGCGATAGCGCAGGCCCAGGAATTCGCACTGTGGCACCACACTGAGACCAGCGGCGCCCCGGGCCCACGCGCTGTACGCCACAGAGCAGAATAACGCCAGCTGTCCGGCTTGCGGACGGTTATCACCTTGCTGCGCGCGAGATGACCTTCCTACAGGCGTCTCTGTCGCCTAATTTTAGGTCACCACCTTGGATAACTTGAGCAGAAATTTCAATCACAAAAACAAAAAAAAAACGATAACACCGTAACATTATGACCTCCAATGTAAATAAAATAATCCATTGTGTGAGCAGGAATACATCTCTCACATTTCACCTGGCAGTTGTAACAATGCCCAAGAAATGACCAAGCTTCTTCCCCAGAGCCGTCAAGCTGGTGACCTCTCCTCACTTGTTCCTGTGCCCCTACACCACTACATACACCACACGTCCGACAGCTGAATGTAGGCCGAACTTGCACTTAAATCTGTACTTGATTGAGTTGAGCCATCTGATAATCGCAGTACTATTCTGCACTGTTTGCTCTGTTTTGTGTACTTTTGCAGTTTTTAACAGATATGGGTACTGTCCCACTGGTACCATACTTGTTGTTTACACTGTTAGTGTTATTGTATTTACTGTCTCTCGTCTTGCTTGCTGTTCTATATATATATACTGCACCTGAGAAACTAATAAGAAACACTTTTCATTATTCACTATGCACCTGTGTAAGTATAATAACAAATAAACTTAAATTGAATTTAATTAAAACAATTAGCTGAAAGCACCCAGTTGTAAACTTTTTTCAGTTTTACTGGGGTGCATTATTAACCGCATCAGGACACACCTCTCCAGGCTTGCAAATTCTGGGTGGGAATAGATACATCCATATCCCTAATGGAGAAACAATTGTTACTACTAGGAATTTCTACCGGTTATTATTATCCTATCGTATAAATAGTAAAAGGAAAGCTCGGGAGGGGGCGAAACAGCCTCTTCTGTTTCAGAGTTGTCACAAGTATGACGTCTGACACTCACACCCCCCAGAGCAGCCAGAAGCGCCTTGCCCACACCTTGGGGAGACGGGCAGGAGTCGGGGTTCACGGCCATGTGACGGACCTGGGGGGCTGGCAGGACTGAGTAGGGCGCCGAGCTGAGGAAAACCGCCGGCTCTGCCCCAGTCCTCACTCCAGCAACCCACAACACAGGAGAAAAAACAAAACTACGCACAGTTTATACTCAGAGAAGCACCCCCCCCGTCCCGTCCCGTCAAGTCCCGCACACACACACACCTCCCCCCACCCCCCGCAAAAAAAAGGGCAGCAGAATTATGGAGATTCCCGTTTTTCCAGGCTGATGTTGTCCTGCCGGGACAAAAGCCCGCTGGGGCTCGAATGGTTTTGAATTTTAAGCCCCTTAGAGATAAAGAGGAAGGCAGCACGGGAAAGGCAGGCGGACGGGCGGGCAGGCAGGCAGGCGAGAAGTTGTGTAGCCCGACTTGTTTGTGTGTGTGTGTGACTCACCTCCCTTCTCCGCCGAGTTTGAGGCAAAGTTGGAAGCCAAGATGGCGGCCGATTCGGTGCAGGTAAGAAAACTTAGCAACTGTTGCACTTGAATTTCCATGCCCCCCGGAGCCGATCGGGCGCCGCCGGGATCGCCGCTCGCCTCCGCTCCCCGTCCCGCCGGGACGGGCGGCCGGGCCGGCGAAAGGTTGTTCTCCGGACGATCAATTTCGGGATGAGTTTTCCTCTTTTCTTCCCCCCCTTATCCTCCTCCTCCTCTTCCCAGAGGGTTGCCTGGGAAGTAGGGATTGAGGCCTGGAAAATAATTAAACAAGGTCCCAACTGTTGCATCCCGTACGCGGGGGCTCCGCCGAGCGGCGGCGGGGCTTTTCCTCGCCGGTTGCGCCCCGGTTTGCGGAGCGGGGAGCCGCGGCGTGTCTGAGCCGGCGGTCCTGCCGTCTCCGGAGGGGATGGATCGGGAGGGGGCGAAACATTAGTCGCCGGATAAACAGCATCTCCGCGTCCGCCGTGTCCCTCTTGTTCCTGCGTCGAGAAACCGTGCCGACCAGCCGACTTTAAAATAAACACACATATTTGTAACGCGCTGGAGAAGCCGGGAGACGTTTGCAGTAGCTGAGGGAGGGGGAGCTTTTTAAAATGTGTCGGTTTGTTTTCGGGAACTTGCTTGAGACATGTCGATACTGTCTGGATTTGGAAGTGGTTTCAGTCCCTGCTGTCGGACCCAGTAAGCGGACAGTGGGGTGTCCGGGCGCAGGGCTCTGGCCGACCCGACCCGTCCAAGATGTCACCCCGGACCTCTTACCGGCAGAACCCTGCGGGTGGGTCGGTACCCCAGAAATTCCCCCTCTCGGTGGTGTTTCTCGGGGCGGTTTTACAACCTACTTTAGGAGGGAAAGCTCCAAATGATAATGGTTAACAAAAGTAAAATGGGGGGTTGGGAAATGTGTTAAATCTTCGGGCTGGGTATAGCGGGGCACTGGTCTTTAAATAGAAATGGGACTTCCTGCAACTTCAGTCGATTAGGGAGTTTAGTGATACAATCGGAGGAGCGGGTCCTTCCCAGCCTGGGGCAGCACGTGAGGTGTTGGGGATCCCAGCGGGAGGCCCACTGTAGCATCCGTGCCCTAACAAATCTTGTTATTTTAATAAAAGAATCCCAAGTCTTTCCCAATGCAACAAGCACGAGTGATATATCTTAATGTTCTAGCGCAAAGCAAATTATAATTATGCTTCGTGACTAAATCTCTGGTTAATCTGTGCAAAATATAAAATTAAATTATAGGTTTCTGTGTACGACAGCGCCTTCCTTTTATGTGTTCTGCCGTGTTTCACAGACTATATCTCTGATGTGAGTATGTCCGCTTGAGAGGTTTGTGATGTTATTAGACCCCATTCTGCGGAAATTAGAGATCTCGGTAACGGCTTCTGCGTTATTAGCCAAGTGAGTCAGGGTTTTGGATCAAAGGAAGGAGGAAACTTAGTTTGCTGAATGTAGAACAAAACTATCTGATCTCCGATTCAGCTCAGCAGAGAAACAGTAATGATGCACTAATTGCAGCAGCTGAAACGTTTCTCATGTCGCTGTGTTTTGGGGTTTGGATCTGTAGCACTCGTTTTGCACTGTTTTATCTGACGCTCCTATTAAAATAAAGCGAAGACTTATCAAAAGAAATCTGCTGTGTGCCCCGAGGGCGTGACGGAGGGGTAGCGCGATCGGCAGTGCCAGAACTAAAGTTGCTTGTTTCGGGTTTGTAGGTGATGTTTAATGATCTGTCTGATCGCTGGTCTTCAAAGTCTTTTCTCATTCAGAGAGCGTCCGGCCCAAGGGATCGAAGTTAAGAACCTACAGCGCATAATTCAAATTTTAAAGAACCCACTTCTTGAAGGAGAAAGAGGGGCACAGTAAAACATCTTCGGGGTGTGGGCAGGTGGCTGCCACAGTCCGCGCTGGCGTTATTTATGGACGGCCTCCATCTCGTCTGTGACCTGTGGGGGTCATCTCGCCCTTTAGCCAGTGGCTCCAAGGGTCTTATCTAGTTGTTTCTTGGAAGAACCCCCGGATAGCACTTTTCCACAGCCACAGCAGCTTGGTCCACACTCCCGCTGCCCCTTCTGTGAAAGCTCTTCCACGCGTGCACCCTCGGGTCACGTCTCCCTGCTCCTCCTGGAAGCCGACGTCTCGGCTGCTGTGTGAACTGGTCTGCAGCACCTGCTGCTTGAAAGAAACTGGCCTGTGCTGGCGGTGGTGGAGTAGAGGAGGGGAGTGTTTTTACAAGATGGCTGTGCTGTTGCTGAAATGTACATTTATGCACCAGTTTAGCTGTGTCACTAAAGTACCCGGGTCTTGTGGGATGGAGCCATTTGGAGTTTCAAAGGGTCCCAGAGCCCTGTTCTGCGAGAGTCATTGGGAAGATGAGGGTTTGGGCAAGCAGCTCTTCGGGTCCAAACTATTCCCCTACGGTACTCCGGTTCAAGCAGCGCTCTTCCCTCTCATGCAGGCTGTAGTGGCTTAAGCACACCAGAGGACCGCCAGGGACGAAGTGCCTGTTGATGGAACAATCACGCCTAGATCATATCAGAAACCATGTTAACTCAGTCTATTAAAAACATTCGCTCACTGTGAGGAGGGGAGGGAAAGTCTTGGCATGTTAAATCATTGAGCTTTATGCACTGCTTTTAATCCGTGCTTAATTTTGAGAAAGTGCTCAAAGGTTTTATGGTCATGCACCCCGGCATCCACTGCACGGATCCAGTTTTATTAAAGCTGTCTTGTTGGAGGAATTAAATAAGTGTTTCCACGCTGCAGCCTGCCTGTCTGACTTCAACAGTCAGAATGTGAAAAGTTTCTCTTTTTTCTGCCTTAGCTGCTGGTCATTGGTTTACAGTTCATTAGCTTTTCTTTTGAATGGTCTGTGAGTGAGCTGGTGTGTGTAAATAGAAAGCTTCTCTTTTGCAGACGGCGGTGTGGAATTAGGCTGGCTGTGACGTATGTTACAGAGCCTGTGAGTTGTTCTGCGCTGTCTAGAGCACAGTGCTGGGGCTTTGAATCGGCAGTACCAGTGCTCTGACAATTACAGTATTGCGCAGAGTTTTAGTGATGCTTTTTCTCTCCATCAAAAGAGAAGATTTTGCAGACTGGCGGTTTGGCTGCTTCTCTTCTTCAGGCTACATGTTCCAGGGTGTCCTCTGTTCTTTTCACCTGTACAGCATTTGTTTTTTTCTTTGTTTTCAGTGGTTTCTTGTGAAGACGTCTTAAAGAGCCTGGTTTCTTGGTTTATAATCCTACAAAAGCAGTTTGCCAATATCTGAGTTAGGTAGAGAACATGTTGGTGTCGGTGCACTTTCCTCTTGTGTGGAGTGGCAGTCTTCAGCCACTCCTGACTTTTTCTCCCAGTCAGGACAATTGAAGAGGGGATCAGTGTGACCGGTGGTACTCTATAATTAAAGTGGCCTACCTGATTCACATCAGAGCACTACTGCATAACAACCAGCACCTTAATTCTTATATTGATCCTGCTATCTATGAGCTACTAAAAATCGTGGGCTTCGGCAGCTCATTATTCTGTGTGGAGTGGAATTGCAGTGTACTAGACTAAAGTGTCTCTTTGAGGAGCTGTTTTCATTAGGCGGAGATGCACAGCAGTCTCTTCACCTCTTTTTAATTGCTGGACACCCTAATCCCTTTGCTAGCTGGCCATCAGACCTGTGTTGTTGCTGCTTCTGATTGGATGCCTTGATGAAAACGACTGTCTGGAGTCTTTTCTAGTCATGTTGTGTGGATCGCTGTGATGCTGTGACCTTTACTGTCCATTCCATCCCTTGACCCATGTAGAATTTAGGTGAAAATAAAACAAAGCAGCATACGCATGTTTATCAGACCGTTAAAAGTGGTTAGGAGTCACTTAAGCATTGTTGTTGTGATTTGGTTTTGTGTGTCGAACCCGCCGGGATGTGACGTGGAAGTCAGGGTGTTTACAGACACACCGGGCAGATACAGGGCAGAAAGGGAGCATCTTGTGTATAAATCACCACAGCTTCCCTTCCTGCCCTGGGTCTGGGGTGTAAACACTTCAGGGCCGCCTGGCTCCTCGTCTTCCACTGATTTCGGATGGGCTGTTTGAAGTTCTGGTTCACTGATGTTCCAGCTGCCAGTGTGTGTGGTGTGTCCGGTTTCTGTCAGATAGTTATCACTTGCAGCAAGGAAAGAAAATTATGCAGTGTAATCATGGAGGATTGAAGTTTTTAGTATATTGACGAAGTTTGAGTGCAGTCTGATTTGTAAGTGATCACAGACAACTTTGACAGTTTGGATACGACAACAAGTTAGCGTGCAGTAATTTGATAATGAAACCGTAATGCTACAATACCATGGCAGTTTTCTCATTAGAGGTATACTCCAAAGTTGCTAATAAGCAAGGAGAAGTTTTTTTGCCTTTTTCTACATTGCTATTTACAAAAATATATTTTTTCAGAACAAAGCTGCACTTTGAAAAAGTTTTGCTTTCTTGCTTCTTGTCAAGTGCTGGAGGACGCAGCCAGATTGATCCACAGTTCAAGTTTGTCATTCCAGCCATATACAAGTATACAGAGGAGCGAGATATCGTTCTCCAGGTCTACGGTGTGAACTGCACTACAGACAAGGCACTGACAAGACAATGCTATAGACAGTGTAGACATAGACATTCTACAGGGTACGGGGCACATAATGCAATTTACTTTACAGGATTGTGTAAAGAATACATCAGACAGTGTGCCTGACATTAGGCAAAAAAGAGCTACATTTCCAGATGTGGAGTAGGTGCAGTTGGTACCAGGGTGTTGAGGAGCCTGACAGCCCTTGGAAAAAAGCTGCTATGGAGTTTCTTGGAGACTCCATAGACAGACTCCACAGACTGTTTCCCTGCAGTTCCAGGATCAGGCTGTCTTATCATTCATGTAAAAACATTACAGTTATCACTGTGAGCAGGACTGTGGGGCAGCAGCTTATCTTACTGGTCATAAGGTTTAGAATCTCCGGGACCCCCTGAGTGGCACCCCAAATGCCACTCCGTGTGGGTTGCTCATTTTTCTAAGACTCACTATAGCTCTGAAAATGTCCTCATGGTGTTTTGGTCAGCGAAGGGTTCTCAGCCCTGCTCCTGATGATATTAGCTGAGAAGACCTAATGATAGGATGAATTTGACCTCTGCAATAGTTTCTCAATGTGCAGGGGGTTGACTTTGAAGTGTTATGTTTTTCATGGCCCAACTTCTGAATAGAACAGCTTGCAAAGGTTTGAGTCAAGCAGTGTGTTGGTTAAGGGTTGAATCTCAAGAGCTTATTTGGAACAAGTACCAGCTGGTGTGGGGGTGTCCAAAACATGATGGGGGAACCCTTGAATTAGTATTTATTTTTTGTATCCTAGTCCATTTCATATAGATGTAAAAGTGTATTTAGAATGCGATGGGTGGCTGTGAAAGTAGAGGCCGTTTTTGTGTGTCAGTTGCTTGTTGAGGTCTATTTTTAGCAAAGACTAAGTTGCAAAATTGGTTTGTTTCACGGGGAGCAGAGGTAGTGCACAGCTGTGATTGTACCAGCCAGCGCCATGCCAATCTCCATCTTACAAGCCCCTAGGCTTGATTCCTAGGTTGCAAAAGAGTAACCAGTTCAGTTCCTATTGCTTGAAGGTACTTTCTTGCCATCTTCTCCTGAAACGTAAAGCCCAGAAGACCATTGGGCAGCTCTTCTCTGTGTTGTTTACTTATTTCTGATGATAGTTCAGTCTCAGGGAATTTCTAAGGGATTACATTGTGGTGTTCAGTCAGGTTACGGATTTCCTTCCCTTTTGTCTATGACACCCTGTAACATGCACTGGCTGCAGCTTTCTTCAGACTCTTAGGGTGTGTCTTGTAAGTTCTGAAAACTAAGCCCTCAACAGGCTCTGGAGTTTGTGGGTTGGTTTCTGGGGGGGCTGGTTTGCAAAGCTTGTGATCTCAGATTACAGACAGGTACCTAGACTTAATTGTAATGCGCAAGGAGTGAAGCTGTGAAAGGAAACTGATCCCTTCAGGAGGGATGCAGTCAGCAGGACACCTTGGCTCATTACAGGTAGTTCGTTTCGCAAAGATCAGAGAGCAGGTTGAGCAGGTCTCCTCTGTGGGGCAGGGCTCTCTGGCCGGGGATGGGCTTCAAGCTCGTCAATCATGTGTGACGTTGGAGAGGGGGTTACAGGGTTAGGAAGTGGGTTGAGTTTATGAAAGAAAAGCAGGTTTCAGTCATATTGTAGACTGAGGGTTTAGATGATGTGTCTCAAGGCATTTTCAGTCCTGCCGCAGCTCGGTGACTTTAATTGTTTGCGCACCAAACTGTAGGATTGAATTGTTTTAGAGGATTTACCGTGTTTTTTTCTTGGTTAGCAGGAGACATTTCTAACAGTAGGTTAACAGCTCTGTCACATGGGAATGTTATAGACTGCATGCTAAGGAACAGCAAAAGCAAAAACTGCATATCCTTCTTCCTGTGACTGTTATCCGGCTACAGAGGATTACATGTTTACATGCCCATATTAGGACTGATCTAGGATAAACCAGCGTGGGGCTCCGAGTGGACTCTGAAAGTCGCCAGATTGAGCTTTCGGCCGCAAGTGCTCTTCGGGGAGTTTTTACCATAAAGATAGAAAATCTTGTTCTGCATTCAGTTTAATAACCCTCTTCTTACCTAGAGTGTGTTGCATGGTTTTTTTATACTCAAGACCTCCGTGAACTACTGAACTATTTGGATTTCTCTTTTACTGCTTTGTTTAAATGCTTTTTTTAATGACCGATAACCTTCCATAACAAGGCACTCTGAACACGTCAGTCTGAAATCTGTTTTCTTCAAGACAACATGTTGAAAAATTGTATTTAATTGGGCTGACATGCATATCGCTCTCTGTGCCCTACGATTCCAGTGCCTGGATTTATTTGACTCTGTCTGAGTGACTTTGCCTGCACCCTCATAGAGCAGGAACACATTTTGCTTTCAAAACAGTGTAAGTCAGCGGACTTTGCTGGGGATTCAGTTTTTTTAAAAAACAATTTTTAGAAACTGCTTTTCAAATAGAAACTAAGTTATTCCCACAGGTGACCCTGCTCTCCACCGCAGCACGGGGAAGAGCTCGTGCCTCACGTCTGTGTAGCTGAAGGCCGGGCTGGCTTGCAGGGAGAAGGCGCCATACATGACATGAGGGTTTGCAGTTATTCAGAGCAAGAGGGCACAGTCCAGGTGTTCAAGCAGAAATGAAGATTACAGCAGCTCTGTGCTGGTGCTGAAGTTTGTTCCTCATGCAGATCTCTTCCGGCATTGTTGTTGCGCTGTAGAAGTTTTTCCCTCCCCCCCGCTGCAGTGTGGGCTCGCCTCCCGGCCGTGTCCCTGGCTGAGAGAGAGCTGGTGTCGCGGGTCGGAGCTGGCGGGCTGCTGTTGGGTCAGGGCCGGGGGGGCTGCTGTGGAGATGAGCTGTGTGCAGCCCAGGGGGCCGCCGGGCAGGCTGGGTTCCTCCTCTCCGTGTTCCCCTGTCCGTGGGGCAGTCCGCTTGGCGTGCTGCGTGGGGCCGGCGGGGAGGGGCTCGGGGGTCTGCTGGGGCCCCGAGTGAGAAGCAGTGGAAGCTCAAAGCGGAGGTTAACCCCAGGCGGGGGGGGGGCGATCTCTTCGGCCTGCGGAGGGCTCTGCTCCCGGAGACGTGAGTGCTGCCGGGAGTCTGCTCCACGTCTGGAAAGGTCCAGAACCGTGGTCCCGGCTCGTAGGCGTCCTCTCCAGGCAGTACTGCAGTACTGGGCCTGTGAGGAAACCGTGAAGCTCTGCGGCGCCGCAGTGGGAGACTAAGCCGTGTGGTGGCACATTGTGACCATGTGACACCCCAGCCCGGCCACCTGTTATCACTGGTGGGAGACCTTAAAGCAGCAGAGCGTCTGGCCGTGCCTGGTGTCTGAGCGAGTCTGCTTTCCCCAGTGTTGCTGGGTGGAGTGGAGAGCTCTCTAATTCCCTCTAAGGAGGGAGGACCGAGGTCAGAGTTTAAAAGTGTTTCTGGCAGAGTTGAGTCATTTTGAAAGCGTTCTCAAATGGAAAATGCTTTGGGGATTGAAAAGGTTTACTTTCGAGTTCTAACTGCCCGGTGAGGTGAGGGTGTTGGGGTTTTTTTACGATCTGGAGACTACTCCCATTAAGTTTTGATTTAAAACGAGACAGTCTTTCAGTATGTGGGCTTTTAGGTAAAATGTTCCAGTCTGCAGGAAGCTGGAACGAGCTGAATTAAACAGTTGATTGTGTTTTTCAAAGTGAACACTCTCTAAGTATTATAGCTGGAAAGTGACCTCTGTTTTACCTGTGAGTCATTCTGCAGCAGGGCTTCTGTCAGGCCATTCCCTGTCGGTACCTTGCACAGCGCTCGCGGTCTCTCTGGGAGCAAGTGGCCTTCGTTAGCAGGTATGTCAATAAGGGAGAGACGTGTTCAGCTGGCTTTGGTTTTTCCTCTTGCTCATGCCTCTGCCAGGGACTTTCTAAGGGCCGTGTGAAGGTCCGACCTGTGTTCTGCACGCTGTGAATGGTTTACCTTCGTAAGGGGTGTGTTTCTTTACCTCATGTGATTAGTGATGGAGCCAGTAGACAGTGAATTGGATTCGTGCACATCTTGTTGTCTGCCTTGACTGCTGGTCCTCATGAGGGTCTGAGTCTGAGCTCGCAGTGTGGCTGTATCCACTCAGCAGCGGGAAGCCTGTTCCTGCTCGGCTACTTGGCAGTCCTGTGCAGGGGCAGGATGGGATACGTCCTGATGGGGGCTCCGGTCCATCGCAGGGCGCGAACTGTTTCTTTTTTTGACCAACAGGAATACACTGTAACCGAAAGGTTACAAAGTGTGTAATACCTGGACCTTACAGTATCGAAAATGCAGCCTTCAGCCATTTACGTAATTCCATCAGCTCTTTTTTTGTCTTTCATTAATTACTGGGGTTCTTGGCAGTTCAAAGCAAAACACAATACTGACAGTGGTTGTTTCAGTGAGTTTAGTGAAGAGGCTCTGCAGGCAGTGCTGAGCCCTGACCTGAATTCCCTCTGGCTGGGTGTCACGGACGTGGTCGTGATCGTGTCCCTGGTGCCGCGTGAGATCTGCGCTCGCACTGCCTGACGCCCGGAGCCCCCTGTGTCCCTGGTGCTGAGAGAGGGCTGCGCCGCATGGCCACACCCAGCCGGCCCCCTGGTCTTGCCCAGGAGCGCCTGCTGTGATCGCTCGCTGCCCTCTGGCCAGTGTGTCCAGGCAGGTCCGCTGAGACAGGAGGGCTGACGGCGGCTCTGCTCTGTGGGCGTGGCCCTGCCATTACGCAACACGTTCCCTCCCGTGCTTCTTTGTCCAACACAGCATGCAAAGCCATGAGGGTGGTGCAGTTCAGCAGGCAGGCTCCACAGGCGGCTGCTGTCTTTGGTGGAGTTTATTTTAAGGCCCTGCTTCCCCAAGAGTCAGATTAAGTGCTGTACACGCAAACACATTACTTGTCTCTGTCTGCATCAGCATGATCTCATCCAGGGTTAGGATAAGCAGGATTTGTCCTCTCCAAAGTGCTTATCGGCTATACTGATGTGAGGGGGCGTTTGTAAGCGGACAGAGGCTGTGAGGGTTTGATATTGATTTTTGCTTCTCGTTCAGTATGGGGCTGTTTGTGGAGGGGGCCTTCAGTTTCTTCCTGGATCATTGAGGTGTTTCTGGGAGGGAACACAGTGACGAGAGGAATTAGGAACATGCTTGGATTTATTTGTGCAGCCGAAGTTATGGTAAGAAACTGCTGGGCCTGTTTTCTTTCTCCTCTTTCTTTTTTTTTTTTTTGCTGACTTGTGAAAGTTTGGATGTGGTTCCTGAAATGTGAAGTATTTTTAACTTTGTCAAAATGTTTTAGAAACAGTTTGAAGACTCCGCAGCAACAGTTGTGCCCTTTACTTACATGAGACTGAAAATAACTTCCAGTTCACCGCGGTGTTTTTTTCCTATTTAAGAGGCTCGAGAATTGATGCCTCAGCAGGAGAGCAGGTTTTGGAGAAGTGCAGCTCCTTCAGAGCAGCTGTGTGAGGCTGTTGGGGCTTCGCAGCACAAGTCCACCCCTCCCTGCTGATAGCTGAGCCGTTGCATGCCAAGAGCAGTGTGTGACGAGTGATAATGGATCGCCTGTTGCTAGCGAAGTGCTCTGTAAATGGCTTCTGTGTACGTGAATTAGGGTGAGTTAGGGGTATGTTGAATTTAACTGAAATCCACGTCTTTTAACAATCCAGTGGAAAGCGGAATTTGGTTTTGAAAAGTGCAGCCCTATCAGCTTTTGCTAAAGAGTCCTCCCTGATACTGTCAGTGTGTTCTTCTGGGGTCTTTTGTCGATTCTGATATTTTCGTTTACATCATGTGTTGTTTTGCCTTATAATACAATGTTCAGGGATGTTGAGAGATGTTCTTTAGCATTTTAGTATTTCACAGTACATTCTGGTTCAGTAAAGTAGCAGAGCTATAAGTAGCCTACACTAAATGGCAGTACTTTGTTAGTTTCTCAAACTATGGCATTCTACGAAGTACAAATTTTTAAATCAAGGACAGACATGTTAAAATTAATGGAATCCACATCTTGTTTCATTAGAGGTTAGTCAGCCTGTGTCATGAATGCTGTCAAACTGCAGTGCATACTTCTTAACCTGCGGCTTATCACCCACAGCATGTTGTGCTGTTTTAGAGGAGAAACGTCTTGCTCTCAGGAATGAGGCTTCTCAGTGTTGTCTTGAAATGCAGGCTGTTGTAGCTGCAGTTTGTGTGTTTGAGGTCACATGCTGAGTCTTGCTGTGCACTACTTACTCAGCAGCATAGCTGAATACTGCTTTGGTAGTTTATCACATGATGCCCTGGGAGACTGCATGTTTATTCTTATGTAAAGTTTATTTCCTAGTTTATAGTCCATGTGTCATGCGCTGAAGGACTCTGCCCAGTCTTCATGATCTTAAACCTAGAGGAATGCCCAAACGAATTTTGGAAATATTGATTTTGTGCCAGCGGCCACAAGGCCTCTCAGTGGTGAACTGTTTGAATCTTAGTAACTGTCACCTGCTGTATATCATCTCATAGTCCTGACCTGGGTTTTTTTTTAGTATGTGTTCATTTCACTAATACCCCTGCATGCAAGAGGAGGCTGGAGGCAGGTGTTCAAGAGTCAGTAAGTTGCATGAATATGGCGAAGCGGAGGTGTTGCCCTTCATGTCTGGCTGTAGCAGCAATGCCTGGCCTCCGGTCTAACCTGTCTGACTCCTCCCCTGCAGGGCGATGCCAGGAGCCACCTCGTCTCGGAGCGGCTCGGGCTGGGCCACAACCTGGACCTGTCTGACACCATGGTGCAACAGAAGCTGGACGAGATCAAGGACCAGATCAAGAGGGAGATCCGCAAGGAGCTGAAGATCAAAGAGGGGGCGGAGAACCTCCGCAAGGTCACCACGGACAAGAAGAGCCTCGCCTATGTGGACAACATGCTGAAGAAGTCCAACAAGAAGGTGGAGGAGCTGCACCAGGAGCTGCAGGAGCTAAACGCCCACATCGTCGTGAAAGACCCCGAAGAACTGTTAGGTACAGTACTGCTGTCTGGGCCGTAGGGGCTCCACACGCCCTTAATATTAGCATTACAGAGAAGCTGCATGACCCATGAGCCTCCATAATTCAATTTCCTCCTGTGGGCGAAGGGTTTTGGAAGCAGTCCTGTCGGAAGCAGGGTGGAGGGTTTATTTCTGGAGTCCCCTGGGGAGCACCCGGGAGCTCTCCTCGGCTCATGCTGACGCACCAGCCACAGGTGAATCACCCCTTTTGTAAAGCCCTGAATAACCAGTTCAGTCTCCTTCTGTTTTATTTAAACCTCCCGGGCGCTCTGAGGAGCATGCATGTAGCTGGCACATCTCTCATTTCAGCATCCGTGTGTCAGCCCAGTACCCTGCAGAGCTATTTTCCTTACCTTTTCACAGGCCAGCGTTCGGGAAGGTCAGAGGTTAGCTTTTGTAAGCCTTTAAAACGACAATGAAGTGAAAAGATGCATCACAGTTTTAATGCTTAAAGCGCCGTTGTGGTTTATATTGCAGAGTCAGTATCTGAAAATACCACACGCTAATTAGACTCCAAGGGGATGTGTTAACGAGAGCTTGAGAGCTTTTATTAATTGTGCAGGGCAGCAGGGAGGAGGTGTGGTGAGGGCTCTTCTCTTCATTGGAATGGTTGTGGGTTCAAGCCACAGTAAGCAAAGTGCTTCGCCTCTGTTGATCCCTAAAGTACCCAGCTGTGTAAATGGGTGACAGTGTAGCTGTCAAATAAAATGAGTTACGAGTAATGGCAAAACTGAATACCTGACCAGTATTCAGAAATAGGAGAAAGTCTGAGTGTTTATGGGATGAACGAAAAGACACTGTGTGGAACAGGCCAAGCGCTGAAGTCAATTAGCCAAGCTTACTTTCCTCATTGCTGTTCGTTCAGTAGTGCAGCTTGGGGTGTCCGTGTTCATTTGCCTTCTGCGGGTGATGGGGAGAGATTCGGACCTGTGCGTTTTGAGTGTGGAATTTCCAAAGGCACACGTGTGGTGGGAACTGCAGAATGTTTTCTGCTGCAGGGCTAGACTGAGAACCAGACTGAGAGAGGTGTTATATTTAATGAAAGCAGACAAAGATTGTTCTGCATGTGTTATTTAATGAGCCATGCGTGTGTTCTCGGCACGGCTGCCCGTCTGCAGCCATATATAAATGCGGCGCAAGGTAGCTATTTTCAGCAATTTTCCCAGAGCGAGACTGGGATTAAGGCAGGAAGTAGCTCTAAGTCATGAGGCACAGCTTGTTGATAGAGTTCCTGTGTGGCCGTTGTGGGAGAGAAACAGCTCTGAACTCTCCCTCCAGGCACGTCGTCCTGCTTGCACTTGCGAAGGTTTACTGCATTTTTGCTGTTTTTTTGTACTGTATTTTAAAGCACAGGCATATGGGAAAACTAGGGTTCTGCTGTATTGAACGGGAGAGAATTAACACTCATTGCATTGTGTATTCACACTGAACGGGGGCAGCTGTAATGTCAATAATAAAAAAGGGACTTAATTTCTCCTCCTGAAATAACTCCCTGTTTTCTGGAAATATTTCCAGACGTTAGGTTTGGAAAATGCATCATTACCTTTGTGTGTACTTTAAGTGCTGCTACTGTATCTTGTTACTAAAACAAAGAAATCAAACTTTGTGTATCACACCTTAATACTGCTGAAGGAATAGTGGAAATATAAAATTGAAGCCCAGTTCCATAAACCGTGTCTTCCTGGCCTTCTGTTCTAGAACTACACTGAAATCCTCTTGCTCCAGAAGACTGTTTAGGTTAATGGAAACGTTGGGCTGTCTTGTGGACGTACTGCTTTCTCTTCACAACTGAGAATGCTGGGAAGCGCTTTCAGCGTGTTGCTTTGCCTTAAGCACAGATAAAGCCGCTTGAGCTCTGCTCTGTTTCGGGGGCGTGCACACGCCGTCCTGCTCAAGGGCACCGAGACCCTGCCGGTCACTGTTTTCATGGGAGGTTGCCAGGTTGTGCGAGGCCTGTCGCAGTATCTACAGCACACCGTTAAAACATGAAGAACCGATGGCCAAAAAGAGGAATTATAATGTATATTTTTTTCATTTTTATTTTTAAACTCGAATGCTTACTGAGTTAACAAGTATAGCTTGCAGCCTAGGCTTCTTTAAACAACTCCACGGTCTGTTTTTGTTTTCACTTAATCTGAAGATCCAGAGCAATCTGCGTTACTGGTTATGTAATCTGAACGGGGTGAAGATTGCATCATTTATTGATGATCTATGTTTAAATGATCTTTAAACTGCAGATTTCCCTTTCTATTTTAACACTGTGGCATATGGCAGTTTTACTGCTTTTCAGAGACTGCAGGAGCCCTGTGGAGTCGTTTCCTTTACCCCGCTGGAGTGACTGGTACCTTGTTCTGACCTCACCAGGCAAACAGCGAGCTGCCAGGAGTTGTGATTGCGAAAGAGCCGTGTTGTCTGGGTTCAGTTCCTAGACTAGAAGGAGTCTGCCTGCAGGGAGCCTGCAGCTGGGGAGCCTTTGTTTGTTACAGATCTGACTTGGCTTTCTGGCTCTGCTGCAGGTCTTCATACGCTGACTGAGTCTGCTTTAGAATGCGGCACTTCGGCTTACGACACCTCCTTCAGATGTTTCAGACTGGGGAGACACCTGCACAGTAACAGTCGCATCTGTAAAACTCTACATATTTAACTCTTTTTTTTAAACATTGCTAGTGCCTTCCTAATATTATAAAATGCAGATTAAGATACTTGATGCTTTTTTTACATCCAGTTAAGCATATGAATTGCCTTCAGTCTGTAAGTGCAGATGACTTTATATCTTACCGTCATGGACACCAAAGAGATTCAGTGAGATGGGGGCAGTTTGTCTGTGTATTAACATTTAACTCTGCCCCCTTTGCACCATAACGGATATAAAGTGTTTCGTACCATTGAGAATGGCTTCATACCGTTAACAACAGCATGTTTCTCCACATTGCACTCCTGCTAAGGACATTTGTAGAGCCTTCAGTGTTCAGTGAAACGGAATCGCATTGAATTCTGGTGCCACAGTGCTCTTCAGTAGTGCCTGAGTCATTGTTGACCTGAGGAATGTTTTAGGTACTGTAATGCAGCAAAAAGCCTTTTGCTTGTGCATGTTGATACTGGCAGTGTTAAAACCAGTCTAATTAGTTTGAAACACTCGGGAAACATGCAGGCTGTTGGATCCACCTGGAAGAACTACACACCATCTTGCCATTTTCAAAGTTCAGGTCAGGCAAGCTTGATATCTAAAGAATCACTATGGCTTTCTTTAGATTGGACAAAACCCATTTCCTGATTCTTCCTCCATTGGAAACGTCTCAGCCTCCTTAATTGCCAGTTTGCGTTGTCAAGTCTCTCGTGCAGGGCCTCCGGTGCGTGGTCAGAAACGTCACTCTGCTGACCCTTGTGAACAGCTTGGGCAGCGCTAGATGTGCACATCTCACTGTGGCCCGAGTCCAGCCACTCTGCTGACACTTGTGAACAGCTTGGGCAGCGCTAGATGTGCACATCTCACGAAGACAGTTTGTGGAGGTTGCCTGCCTCATTACTGTTTATCAGAGAGATTAGGCAAGTAGTTCAGGTGGGGAGCTGCGTCAGCATGCATAGGCTGCAAAGGAACAAGTAATAGGTTTATTCCCAGCTATAAAAGAGAAGAAAGACAACACAACGTTTCAGCTGTGGAGCCTTCTTCGGGTGTAGAGCTACCCTCTTATTTATTTGCTTACCTGACACCCTTAACCAGGGCAACATACTGTACGTCTGATACAGGTTTGAATAAAACAAGACGGTACAAGAGACTTCCTGACACAGCGTTGTTGAAACATTTTTAGTGAGTAGTTCCTGAACCTCTTGCAGGTGCTACAGAGCAAAGTGCTTCCAGTGACACCAGGAGCATCAGGTGCTGCATGCTGCTTAGCCTGTGAGAAAGCAGAGCAGGCAGACACCTTACCGGCACCCTTCAGTCTGGAGAGAAGAACTGATTTCGCTTTCATCTAGCAGACTGCAATGCTAACCCACTGCAGTCACAGTATAGTACGCAGATGTACAGTATTTACTTCTCTGCCGGTGCTTAATCATAAGTAGCTTACATTTTAAACTGTGTATATTAGAAAGGTACATACTGTACATTGCATAAGTGGTTTATATGAAAGATAAACCCCAGAAGCATAACTGTTGGGAGTGGTTTTGTAGTGATTATATCAGGAAGGACATTTTCTCAAAGAATCTGCTTGATTCAATTACATGGACCAAAGTCTGCAGCTCTGTTTCCTGGTGGGAGGTGTGTTGGTCTTTTCAGGGCGTGAAACAAAGTTGCTAACTCTTGTCCGGTGCCTTGCGGGACAATGGCTGCTCATCACTGCCATCAGTTATCAACCAGTAATCTCTCGGCCGCCCCTGCTCTGCTCTGCTCTGCTCTGCTCTGCTCTGCTCTGCTCTGCGTGTGAGTGTGAGTGTGAGTGTGAGTGTGAGTGTGAGTGTGAGTGTGAGTGTGAGTGTGAGTGTGAGTGTGAGTGTGAGTG